CCTCTCCCAACTTTGAATATCTTGTGTATGGGGCAGAAGAGGAAGAGTATGATGAGATTTGAGAAGAGGTTTCACGGTTGCTCGAGCCCGAGGAAAGTGTCATTCAGCCGTATAAAGAGCCATTAGAGATCATCAATTTGGGTTCAGAGGAAGAGCCAAAGGAAGTCAAAATTGGAGCGTTGTTGCATCTTGATGTGAAGAACAGGTTGATTGAGCTGTTGAAAGAGTATGTGGATATCTTTTCTTGGTTTAACCAAGATATGCCTAGTCTAGATACTGATATTTGTGGAGCATCGTTTGCTTTTAAAGTCATAGTGCCCTCTAGTCAAGCAGAAGTTAAGAAGAACTCACCCTGATATGGCAGTAAAAATCAAAGAAGAAGTGTTAAAGTAGATTAATGCTGGTTTACTTGTGACATCAGTGTATCCTCAATGGATAGCCAATATGGTACTCATACCAAAGAAAGACGGAAAAGTTTGCATGTGCGTGGATTGCAAAGATATAAATAAAGTTAGTCCGAAAGATGATTTCCCATTGCCGCATATTGACATGTTGGTTGATAGTACAACAAAATTTAAAGTATTCTCATTCATGGAGCGATTTTCCGAATATAATCAAATAAGAATGGCTGTTGAGGACATGGAAAAAACAACATTTATCACACCCTGGGAAACATTCTTCTACAGAGTGATGCCTTTCGGGTTGAAGAACGCTGGTGCAACGTACAAGAGGGCTATGACAACCCTATTCCATGATCTGATGCATAATGAAATTGAGGTTTAGGTTGATGATATGATTTCCAAATCATAAACTGAAGAAGGGCATGTAGATGATTTGTTGAAATTGTTTCAGCATTTGAGGAAATATCATATCCGCTGGAATCCAAACAAATGCACCTTCGGTGTTCAATCAGGGAAGTTGTTAGGATTTAATGTCAGCCAGAAAGGGATTGAAGTTGACCTTCATAAAGACAAAGCAATTCAATAAATGCCTGCGCCAAGGACTGAAAAGAAAGTTAGAGGCTTCCTTGGGCGGCTGAATTCCATTTCTAAATTCATTTCCCACATGACTACAGCGTGTGAACCGATCTTTAAGTTGTTAAAGAATGATCAGGTTTGTGTGTGGACAGATGATTGCCAAAGGGCATTTGAAAGTATCAAAGAATATCTGCTTGAACTACCTATCTTGCTCCCTCCCATTGAAGGAAGGCCATTGATCATGTATCTGACAATGTTAGATAGTTCTATAGGTTTTATTTTGGGACAACAAGATGAGACAGGAAAGAAAGAATACGCCATTTACTATCTCAGTAAGAAATTTACTGATTATGAGTCATGATATTCTATGTTGGGAAAGACGTGTTGTGCTTTGGCCTAGGCAGCAAAGTGGTTACGGCAATATATGCTAAACCATACTACTTGGTTGATTTCAAAAGTGGATCCAATTAAGTATATTTTTGAAAAGCCCGCTCTTACTGGTAGAATTTCCCGCTGGAAAATGTTATTGTCTGAATACGATATTAAATACCGCACTCAAAAGGCCATAAAAAGCAGTGTTCTGGCGGATTATCTTACTCACCAACCGGTAGATGATTGTCAATCCGTCAAGTTTGATTTCCTTGATGAGGATGTAATTTTCTTAAAAGTGAAATATTGCGATGAACCTTTGCTTGGGGAAGGTCCAGATCCTGAATCTCGCCAGGGCGTGGTATTTGATAGGGCTGTGAATGCTTATGGAAAAAGAATTGGTGTTGTGATTATCACTCTTCATGGATCACACATTCCTTTTACCACAAGGTTGACGTTTGATTATACTAACAATATGGAAGAGTATGAGGCTTGTGTCATGGGTCTCGAGGAATCTATTGATCTTAGAATAAAAGTTCTAGATGTATATGGTAATTCACCTTTGGTAGTTAACCAGATTAAGGGAGAATGGGTAACTCATCACCCTGGCTTGATCCCCTACAAATATTATGCAAGAATATTTCTACCCTTCTTTAACAAAGTTGAATTCCATCATATTCCAAGAGATGAAAATCAGATGGCAGATGCTTTGACAACTCTGACTTCTATGTACCACGTGAATACTTGGAATGATGTGCCTTAAATTACAGTGCGATATTTGGATAGACCGGATCATGTGTTTGGGGCAGAGGGAGTAACAGATGAAAAACCTTGGTATTTTGATATCAAGCATTTTCTCCAAACTCAAGAATACCCAGTTGGTGCAACAAATAAAGATAGAAAAACATTGAGAAAGGTTGGCAGGTGAAACAACCGGCTGAACAATAAACTAATAATGAAATCAATGAAGTCGCCATCGAATGTTTTTTATCCCACAAGAGGGGAAAGGTAAACATCGAGTAAACCTGAGAAGGGTGAAATCATGATCAAACGACCGAGAGATTGGGTAAGAGAGTCTGCTATGGGTGTGTTTCAAATCTATCTAAGTTGTACAGGGAATGCATGCAAAAGAAAAAAGAAAACAATGTAGGGAAAATAAAATTGTGCTTGTTCAGGCCCTACCGCAATGCCTATGTATCCCTTTTAAGGAATCAGAGCAGCCATAGTTCGGCTTCAAATGTTTTTGTTGGTTTGTATCTTTTTTTTGGTGAACAATTTTAATTTCGCCTTCTACCGCAACTCAACCTTTAGAGACTTACACGTCAACACAGAAGTGAATTAACATGTTCTTTTGAAAAGAGTTTCGAAATAAAATCCCAAAGGCAAAAGAGTTTGTATTTGTTGGTGCTTTGTTGTGGATAACAACTAATTGACCTCAAGAGAGAGATTTTAACCACTTCTCCACTTATTTATGAAATAAGTCTTTGGGACTTGAACCATACCAAGGCTCATAATGGAAAAACAATAAGATCGAGAAGAGACCCGCTTATCATTTCACACGCTCAACAAAGGCATAGTTCTCATCAGTAATTTTTAGGTGTTTTGAAGTTTGCAAGAAAAAGAAGTTTTTTTTTGTTTTAATGCAAATGCAAAGGGGAAAGAAAAGTCTAACGGGAGACTAACCTAAATCTATATCTAATGTTATCATACAATGATTGATCCCAAAGTTGAGTTTTGAAGGGAAATCTCTATCCTTAATTGACACACATGGATTACAACCAAAAGTTTATTTAACCTAATTTTAATCGACGAATTAAAATTGGACTAAAATTCTAAAAGAGCATATTGGATATAAGAATAAGAACAAAATCACCCACAATTCGCATCAAGATAATTCTTCACAACATAAAAAAAATGAATTAAAACTATTGATTAAAAATGCCTAAAAAAAGAATTAGTAAGAGGGACAAAATAAATTCCTATTTAAATCCTAAATTCTAGTATATATATTTTTATTTCCCCATTTTGACCATTTTATTCATGTATTTTTTTACTAAAAAATGAGGAATTAAAACTAAAGTAGAAGTCATAAAGAGAAAACCAGAGAATCCGGGGTGGCAATCCAAATCTTGGGATATTATTTCATAATCAGGCATCAAGGACGAGCTAACAAAGTCCAAGAGATCTTTTTGTTCTGGGACAAAAAAAAAACCTTAACATGCTAAAATAAAAAATGGTACACGGGCTTAATGTTCAACAATCTACTACTGGACCCAGGATTGAGAGGAAAATCCAGGCCTAAAGAATGAAGAGTCTCATGTGACCCATTCCACTTTCAATTTCCTCTCTCCCACCCTAATCCCGAGCTACAAACTACTGCCCAAAATTACCACTGGCGTCGTTTCTCCATGAAAACAGAACAAAACCAACGTCTCTATGTTCTTCTCCTCTCCATGAACTCAAACCCTAACCTCGCTCCTTCTTACCTCTACGCTAAAACCGCCGCCTCGCCGTAATAATTCAAAAACCCTAAGAGATGAACAAGGACCAAATTAATTGAAAATCGTGTTGAATTTGAAGCAATAGAAATAGATTAATCGTTCAACATGCGTCAAGCATCACAACAGTATCAAGAAATGGTAAAAACGATGAAGAAATAGAGGAGATCAAGGCTTACCTACCGGAGACACTCAGACGGTGTTCAGATGCGGTGAAGGCGGTAAGAAAACCAGAGGATGGTCTTCAAAAGTACAGGTATGCGTACTTTACTTGATTCTTTACTTTTCAATCCATTCTCAATCTTCTTCCTCCGATTTGTTTATTTTTCTTCTTCTACATTCTATCGACCTTTTATTTCCTGATAAGAGAGAATAACCAAAATACTAAGAAATCAGTATTGCAGAGAATGCTCAGTGATTATGGTATAAGGCATTGATGCACGATAATATTGGTCTGAGGTGCTGCGAAGGTTTGCAAGATAGTTGAGAAATGAAGGCGAATGTGGAAGTTGAAGATGAAGGTGGAAATCAAAGAATGAAGGGAAGCTAAAGGTTGAAGGTGAAGGTGGAAGTTGAAGAATGAAGGGAATCTGAATATGTTGATTTTAGGAATTTTGTGAACGAGCCAAAACCGATCCCTTGAGACTAGAGGTGGGGTGAAGTTATATAGAGTTGAGGTTAAGGCTTGAATAAATCTTGGCCATTGGATGAGAAAAGTTAGTTAAGAAATCAAAGGTGAGATAGAGAGTTAGTTACAGACTGTTAGAGCTGTTAAGAAATTGAAACCACCTTTTGTTATCAACTTTTGACAGTTGAGATTCCGTTAAAGGTAAGTTAGTAATTATGTTAAATGTTAGGGGTTACAGAGAGTTAACTAGGCCTGGCAGTTATGATTTGTTTAGTTTTTCTATTATAGGATGATATGGTTTTGTTAGAGATTTAGTCAGGGAGCTATGTCAGCTCTGTTATTTGTTAGAATAGATAGTTAGGAATTGGTTTTGTTAGTTAGTTAAGCAGTTAGAAACTTTGTTAATAATTACTCCAACTTTCAAATGATTTAATCTTTTCTTGCCTTTGTTCACTCGCCCTGGCCTGAATGTGTTATTATTGAACTGAATCTTCCAATTGAAACTCATTTTCCCTTATTTATTCTTTATTATACTGGACTGCAACTTCTAATATTCGGAATTATTGAATTTTTGTGAATTTCTTGATGCGCGTACGAATTAGATGTAACGGGTCCATTTCTTAAGTTGCTACCACTTCCAATAATAACGGTTGGGTTAACCATGGTGAAGGTCGAATGGATACCATCCCTTTGTTTCAGAAGCTCATCTACAGACTGTTTTTTCTTTTGCATATCTATCTGTAACTTCTTGATAGCGTGTCAATGCCTTTCTATACTCTGTTTTGGATTGGCGCAACTCATTCCTCTTTTTTTATTTTAAATTTGAGCCTCAATATCCTTAGGTTTTTCGGTGGTATTTTCAAGCATTTCTACACATACTGCTTCAATTTTATAGCTAGCTGTCTTAAAGAAGTTATCTCCATAAACAATGAATATATGCGTGCCAGGCTTTAGTTCCGATAATTCACAAGGTTGAGGACCTTCCAACCTTTTAGAGAAATCCCCTTTAGGATCCTTTTCCATTGCTAATGCATTCCCGGTTGAATCCACTTTGCACACTTAAGAATGCAAGAAATACATTCCTGCAGATATCACCTTCCCAATCTTCTCACTATCTTCCTGCAAGGCCAAACCATAGCCACCGTTTGCACCTTGTTTGAAATAGAACAACTTTAATTTTCTTCGTATAGTTGAAGTAACTCTAACTACAATCCCTGACTGAGCTTGTTAGTAACTGTCCTATTATCACACCCAAAAAAATGAGCACATTGCTTCTCTACCTTTCCACTAACTGATGTTCCAATTGGAAGGGGTCTGACAGTAACTGTCCCATTCAAAACCTCTTCAAGAAGATTAGTTGAAATGGCTCCAGATTTGAATGAAATTGAGATTTAGTTCTGATTATAATTTTTGTTAGTTAATTGTTAGTGTGAGAAAGAATTAGAATAGTCAATACTGACAGGGCCTGACTGTTAGGAACATCAATAAATGGATAACTGTTAGCTTAAAGTTGTTTAAAAAATTGTTATGTGAGGGATTAGGTTTATGAAATGGATGTTTAAACTGACTTTAATCTATGTGATTGACTGAATCGGTTTTGCTATGCATTAGCCTTTTTTATTTTCTGAATGAATTAACTGTTTTTTCTGCTTTTTAATGATGGGTAGTTTTATGTTGTAGGATGACTCAACTAGTTCTCTGGATGCAGGTTGTTTATTTGGTGCCAAATTTTTTGTGATTGATTGGAACTTGGTGATTGAATTATACAGGGCTGTCTTGACATAATTTAATTGGCTCTTGGAGCTTGCGGAAAACTTTTGAAGGGAGCAAGAGAAGGTTAGGTCATGAAGATGAAATGAAGCAGCTTGAAGACATGAAGAATAGGTTTTGGATCAGGCTTAGAACCAAAAAAAATGTGTAATTGTGAATGTAATTGAATGGAACTTAGATGTTGTATGTATTTCAAATTTAGCTTTGTGATCTGAACTTAAATGAGCTACCATGCTTTGAAATGTTTTTTTATTATTTTATAATGGAGACTTTGATTTAAAATTTGAATTACTTTCCCTCGATTATGCTTGTAACTTGAATGAAACAATCATAAATTTAAATGGAACATTGGCCAAAAGATAACTTTCCCAAATTGAATCCAAATCCATTTATATGTCATGCCTAGATTTGAATAATGAGATATGAATTAAGTGGTCTTGAAGATGGAAACTTGAACTATGTGAATCTTCCAATCTTATCTTGAATCAACCATTGAAAAATCATGAAATCGAGATCTTGAACCAAGATTAATCTCGAGCACAATTAGAAGTTTCAATGAATCCAAATTGACGTCCCATTTCTCTTGAGATCCTAGTTAACTTGTAATTGAAGCAACAAGTGTTTGAAAGAATGATGACATTTTGACCTCAATGAACTCAGAACTTCATCTTGTGTACCATGACTTGCATTTTCCAATCCAATCCACACTACGTCTTGAATTTATGGATAATAACAATGCCTTGAGGGTGCCTTGAAGTATAGAAAGAAATGTAATATGTAGCTCAATGAACCTTGTATTTGATGAATTCTTGATGGAGGGTGACCTTGTAGCTTGATGAAGAAAAGATCCACAACATCCACAAAACCTTAATTCCATAATTTCAATGCCATGAAAAATAACCAGAAGAATCAAGCTTTATTGAACATATACACCTCAGCCAGTTGTGGAAATCCCAGCTTGCACGCCCACTGAACTCATGAACTTCAGGCGCTTATTTTTTGAATGAAAATGCATGCTATGTTAGTAACCTAATAAAAAGATATGAATGTCATGTTAAGCCTAAGGCAAATATAAGTGCAATTACGAGGGAAAATTTTGGGGTGCAACAACTGCCCCTATTTAATCGTCTTAAACCTTAAGGTGAGATTGGTGCTAGCCTTTCGAACTTTTAAGGTGGAAGAAGATTAAATATTAACAGATCTTGGAAATTTACATTCTCAAGCTAGTAAGGTATACATTATATTTTTTGGTCTACTGTATGTTTTTTGCTTTTTGGGTAAAAAGGGGTCATCGGGTATAAATATATGTTAGATCAGGGTTTAATACACAGAAGAGAACTCGATTATCAAGGAACATCTGTTCGGAGTTGGTAGCGAACACATGACAAGAAAGATATCAAAAGTACATATCCAAGATTGGTAGCGAACACATACGGAAAGAAACTGGTCAAAACAGACACTAACTGGAAAGGGAATTATTAAAACATAACCTAATCGTAAATGTTAGCTAAGCTAACATAAGGTAAACCCGATCAAAATGGATAAACTAGAGAGAAGGAACTGATCAAAGCAGAACCTAAACAAGGGAAGGAAACGATCAAAACATAACCTAACCTAAATTGTTAGCTAATCTAACATAAGGCAAATCCAATCAAAACTGATAAACCAAAGAGAAGAAACTGGTAAAAACATAACCTAAACAAGGGAAGGAAATGATCAAAACATAACCTAACCGAAATGTTATCTAAGTTAACAGAAAGTAAACCTGATCAAAACAGATAAACCAAAGAGAAGGAACTGATCAAAATAGAATCTAAACAAGGGAAGAGAGTGATCAAAACATAACCTAACTGAAAATGTTATCTAAGCTAACAGAAGGTAAACCCGATTAAAACATATAAACCAAATAGAAGGAACTGATCAAAACAGAACCTAAATAAGGGAAGGAAATGATCAAAACATAACCTAACCTAAAATTTTAGCTAAGCTAACAAAAGTTAAACCCGATCACAACGGATAAACCAAAGAGAAGGAAATGATCAAAACATAACTTAAACAAGATACAACGATCAAGGGCGGACCCACCAATGAAAAGAAAACTAGCCAAAGATAGACTTTTAGAGAGAGAACACTGACCAAAGGTGGACTTTCTAGGGATACCAATAGAATGTCGATCAAAGGAAAACTTATGAAGAAAAGAGACTCGTCGAAGGGGACTTTAAACAAGGATTTCCAACACGCGTTGGGCTTTAAGAGATTGCAAATACGCAAGAACCACAAAATCCCTTAGGCCAAAGGCGGGGTGTAATTCTTAAAGAGTGGCAATTATCTGAACTACCACAAAGCAAGTATGGATACTCAAATACTTGAGAAATAAGAAAGGCTATACACCGACTCTTACTCGCACTCTGACGACAAAGCAAACACGAGTAAAATAACAAAAGGCTTGTAAGGGAAAGAGAAAACCACGACTTACTGGGGAAATGGAAGATATCAATGACCCGACATACTCTGTTGGGGAAATAGAATAGGATCACCCAAAGCTTATTATGGAGATAATACAAATATAAGCGCATAACAATCTGGTTACGGCAAGTAAGCACAATTGCCTCATACTTATGCATGTTTGAATTTTTTAGCGTAATACCCCATACAATGGTAATGCTACGCGTTTTGATAGATGTAATGTAATGATGCATGTTTATGGATGCACTGGCAAAGCACATCAATAGTCAACTGCTGGGAAGACAATGAACCTCCGAAATATTATTCCTGCACATCTGATCTTCTGTAGAGAAAAGGAAATCAGAACATCGATGGGGAACCGAGACCCCGAAACCATAAACCTCCAAAGATCGAATATCATTAGGGAAGTAACTTCCTGGAGAAGATACTGCAAAAATAAATTGCAATTTCAGAGATAATCTTGAATTCTGATCAAACACCCAACTTCCTAGGGAACAAATTCTTTATCTTTTGTTAGAAAGAGGAGAGCTTCGCTGAGGAAGAAAACTTCTATAAGATGATAACTTCTATTGGGAGGCATAGAAATTCTTAAATGAAAATAATTATACTAAGAACACATTGAGGATAACATCGTCTGGTGGTAAAAAGTCTTCACTTGGGGAAGAAACAAACATCATGGGACATAAACTCCACTGGTGATATCTCAACAAAATATTTTGTCATCGGGGATAAGGGAGTTATGAATGGCACTCCCATGCACGCCACACTGGGGGACAGGACACCTTCTCCGCTAGGGAAAGAAAACTTGCTCCACTTGGGATTAACAGATCAGTTACTCCGACAGGTCCTCGAAATTCGACTTCGACCGGGGATAAAGACTACCTCTTACATTGGGGAGCCAAAAAAACATTAGATGGTAATATGAACGATACCTATTGCATTGGGTGAAGCCGTCTTTTCCAGGTTCAAGCCGGCACTAATTTTTGTACTAGTGAGAAGAAATCACTTCATTACGAATAATGGTCGTTCTCATGAGGATACCAAATTAGAATCTCCCTTAGGAAAACATGAGTTTCTTCAATAACTCTGATATAGGCATGCTGTATTGGAGAGAGGGGGTACACACTTCACTAAAGATGAGAATGCATACTTCATGGGGAGAACAAGTGCAAATCTCACTGGGGAAGCCATAGACTGTTGACTTCGAGGGGAGTATATCAAGAATCGTCGGTTGGTGAATAAAATGATTCTTCCTAGAAAACCTGGAAAGGAACAGACTGCACTGAGAGGGAGGAATACTCGGGCGAGAATGCGCCTTTACTGGGGAATATACTGCAAAAATAAATTGCAGTTCAGAGAAAATTTTGAACTCTGATCTAACTCCCAACTTCCTGGGGAAAACTCCAACACCTCCTTCCAAGGATAAAGAGAATATCGCTTGGAACTGGGACCTTCTGATGTAAGTCCTCAATAAAAGTTACCTTGACTGGGTAATCACATAAATTCTTGAATAAAAGAATTCTACCCAGGCCACACAGGGAATACTACCATCGAGGATAACAACTTTCACTTGAAGAAGATGGGGGCATCTTTGAATCATAAGCTTGAGGTTCAGAACTCCACAGAGGAAATATTTTTGCAATGCTCTATCATTGGGGGTCGAAGAGCCCTAAATGTCATTCGTTTAAGCACACAACTCCGAAAAAATAGGAGACCCGCTCCACTAGGCATAACAAACATGTTAATCAAACATCTTCTCAACAAAACCTGACTTGGGAAAACCTCCC